GAAAGAAAGAAAGAAAGAAAGAAAGAAAGAAAGAAAGAAAGAAAGAAAGAAAGAAAGGAAAAAATATATATGTATATATAAGGATAGCTGCAATAATTGCACTGCTGGTATCTATTGGTTATCAAAAGGAACAGTTAATGCTTAATTTTTTTGACCAATTTTGCATGCTTATATCTGGTAGTCTGACCAACTAATTTGAAGACAACAATATGCAATATAACAACCATTGTTGAATTCTTACCACCCTTTTATTGGAGCTCCGTATCATTTCTAATTTTTTATTATTTTTTATTTTCTTTAATCGTTTGATCAATCTTGCATTCTTACATCTGGTAATCTGAGCAATTTTGTTGAAGATAACAATATGCAATATAACATCCCTTGTTAATTCCTATCATCTTGTTTTGAAATTCTGTATCATTTTTAATGTTTTTGTCTTTGTTGTTATTATGTTGTTATTGTTTTTTCTCTTTAAAAAAGTGCATAAAATATGAATAATCCTGTCTAATGACTCATGTTAAATATGCCTCCCAGAATATTCTACCATGTTGAAATTCACATACATTTTTCCTACAAGGGAGTACTACTCTGTGTTGTAGAGCACGTTTTATCGCAAAGGTGGAGTTCATTGATGAACAGCAGCAGAGCCACACATCAAGTCACTAGCATCATGGGGTCAGCAGTGCTTACAGGATGCTTTTCTTGGTCAGTGAGCAGAAGCTTGGGGTTAGCTAGGGCCAGAGCTTTGCTCTCCACGGAGAGGCGCTTACCTGAGGCCCTCGCCCTCTGGAGAGTGCTGTCTACAGTACTCCACGGTGTAGGACTCCGTGGCCTCCGAGTTGGCAGGCCGCCATCGGATGGTGGCCATGTTCCAACACACAGTGCAGTCCTCGGCTCGAAACACAGGGGTTGAGGGAGCTGCAGAGAAAGAAGCAAGTCTGTCAGAGAGCATGCCAAGTATACTTCTCTGGCACCTGGAAAGGACACTTAGGCATGGTTTTATTTTTAATGTCTTATGAGAAAATTCATTTTGGGTTGAAAACAAAAAGAGATTAAAATAAATATACTGAAAGATCTCCTTCCCTCTGCTTTCCAAACTGTCAGTTCTCACCCATCCTCCACCACCCTCTAACATTAACTTCCTACAAATCCCATCTGACTCCCATACATCCACTGTACAAGCAAACAAAAGGAAAGACTCTTGCCCTCCCCCCTCACACAAAAGGGAACCAAGATCTTGGCCTCAGTGGGTCCTCAATAAAGATGTGTTTTAAGAAACAGAAGAAAGCATGAAGTGCTAAAAGGCAGGAGTAAGTTATTTTCTTCCACTAAAGCAGCTATGGTGAGCTTTCAGGCAATACAGGCTTGGTGATGCCACACCCCTCTTCACCCTGAGAAAACACTGCATCTGGAGAAGACATTCCCATTGAACACCGTGGCTTAAAACTTCCCAGGGTCTCCTGGCAGCCATAGCACCAATCCCAGAATTCTTACTGTACAAACACAGCATCTTTGTGCCGGCCTTTCTCACCTCATGTCTTTCCTTGTTCTTAAGTCTAAGACCCTGTCCACCCCCACAGTTCTGAACACACCTCTAGTGAGTTCTCATAACAATCTGTGCTCTGCATCATGGCCCTTACCAAACATCCTTGTGATTGTCTCTTTTTCTATCTCTCCCACTTGACTCTGAACTTCTCGCAAACAAATGCTCAGTCTTATTCGTTGTTGGATACTCAGCACTTTGCCCAACACCCACAGTACAGCAGGTGATTTGTACTTACTGGTTGACCTCAAGAGTCTGTAAAGAACTGAATATTGCCTCCTACTGCCCCTTACTATCTTCTTACCTGTTCTGAAAATTGCCCTTTCACTAGGCAGGCTGCAGCCAGTGAAGTTCACAGCCATTACCCACACTTGATAGCATCGGTCAGGTTCCAAGTCCTCAAAAATGCAGTAGGTTTCTTTCACTGTCAATCTGTATTCTTCTACCAACTCTAGAATAAAGTGCAATCACAAACTCTAAGACATCTTCCAAAATTAACCAAAAGTTACAGCTACTGAAAAAAAAAAGTAGGGTATGATGTTTTTCAGGGGAGTACCCAAATTGATAACCTTACAGATACCATTATATGACTCTTTAGAATACATATGGAAATAGCATTAAGAGATATTTAGAATAATGTAGTATTATTTCTGAGCATTTATTAGAAAATAATTGCATGTTAGTAAGATTCTGAGCTTCATATACAAGTAAAGCAACTTATTTCAATAGCAATTATTAAAACTGCACAGAATTTGTTAGCTTAAATCTTAGTAATATGTCCTCAAGAAAATTCTTCAGAACCAATGGCATCATTTCCTAGAATACATCATAAAAAAGAACAACTCCACATTTTCTAAACTTATGGTGTTACAAAACATCTTTATAGATTAGTAAACCATTTTGGTATCCAATATGACTTTCCAAATTTCACTTCCTGGTTTCTTCTCATGAAATCCAGAATTCTAGCTAGTTACTTCTTCTACCTTCTATAGGAATACTAAATAACTTAATGGGTCTTAAACTGCTCTAAGAAGTATCTTTGTCTAATCAAGACATCTTCCTTTAAAATTTCTTAAATAACTTTCACTACTTTTTCTTTTTTAATAAATATCACTCAATACCATTCTGAAAAAAAAATACCATTCTGAATGACTGCCCCATTGGGCCAATCTGATTATTTTGGGTATTTTTTGTTTGTTTGTTTGTTTTTCCGGAACCGGGAATCAAACTCCCGACCTTGCTCTTGCCAGGCAGGCACTGTGCCACTGAGCTAAATCCCCCAACACCAAATCTGATTATTTTTACTGGAATTCTCTCATTTAAAAGAAATAATTGGGGGGCTGGCTAGGGATATAGCTGAATGGTGCAGTGCTCCCTTAGCACTCATGAGGCCCTGGGTTATTAGTACTGCAAATCATCATAATAGTAATAATAACAACAACAACAATAATAATAATATTCTTTTTTAAATTAGCCTATGGTAATTTCAGTTATCTTCCTTTGTTACTCCTGAATGTCATATCTTTAAAATTGCCCCAGATAAGGGGATTAGGAGTGTAGCTCAGTGGTAGAGCACTTGCCCAGCCTAAATGAACCCTGCATGGGGAAGGGGGAAGCTTCAAGTGAAGAATCCAGATTGATTTATTTATTCAAGTCAGCAAGTCTCTTCAATTGCCTTTCTTTTGCAATGAACTGTATAGTTCAGATGGATGGTTCCATCTAAAGAATATGCTAAGGATGAATACACTGGAAACCATGTCCCCATGCCTGACTACTGCTTTGCTGGACTTGTCCCGTGGGTGCTCTGGGAAGGGCACCATGACACACGCCTCGTAGACCTTCCCTGCACAGCACCAACTCACTGTCAGAGTCTCAGACTCATCAGCAAATCCAAGACCTGAGCCAATGAGACCAAGGACGGGGTGGTGCTGGGGGGCAGGGAGGACTATGAAAAAGGAGTCCAACCCAGATGTGGTGGAGCACCCTGTTATCCCAGCTACTCGGGAGGCTGAGGCAGGAGGACCACAAGTTCAAAGCCAGCCTGGGCAACTAAGTAAGACCCTGTTTTAAGGTTAAAAATAAAAAGGTCTGGGGCTGTAGCTCAGTGGTACAGCACTTACCTAGGAAGGCCTTGGGTTCAATCTCCAGTAGCACACAGACACAAAGCACCCCACCCAAGAGCTATTTGTTAAGAGGAGTTTTGAAGTGGCAGGGAGTTTCATGATGCAGCAGGCTATCGAAGGAAATGAAGTGTGGTATGAAAAGTAAAAGGTAAACAAACACAACCTGTGCTTGTGCATCTGAAAGGTCTGTGTTTGAATCCTGCCCCCATCAAGTATAGGTTGGCTGACCTTGGACAAGCTACTTGACCTCCTGTCCTTCTCCTCATTTGCTAAGGGAACAGAATACTTACTCTGCTGTGTCGTGACAGAGATGTCGTGACAGACCCTCACTACACAAGAGTCTTTCCAGACAGACTCATCCATGTTTGCACTACCTGGGGCCGGATGGGGCAAGGCAAAGCTGGCTGTGGGGAGTGGGCAGGACCTGTTAATTACACGAGGCCAGGACACAGGCACACTCCAGGAAAGCTCATAGCAGTCTCTTCAAGTTAGCCACCCCGTGTCCTCCAGGGTGTACTTTTATTTTTGCTTTTAATTTCTCCTCTCTTTTGTTCGGTCCAAGTTCTTGCTGCAGGGCCAATTTCTCCCCTTACCCTCCACCTTCACTTTTTCAATTAACTTGGTCAGCATTCTTGCTTCTCTTGTTCACCTCTTTGGTAGGGACAAGTGGGACCTGGACGCTAAGAGGCAAGTATCCCAAAAACCAGGTAACTACATTTGGTGAGCCATTTCTAAAAGAAGCTGCCCAATTTCGTGCATACAGTTCCTTTTGCTTTGTCTGTATTTTTTTCAACATTAATTATCACATTACATTTCAAAAGACTTAAAGCTTAGCAACAGTGAAATATGTTACAATTCACCCTGCATCAGGCTCCCAGGTTTTGTCATGGGTGTCAGTCCCCCAGTCTGGCTTCAGCAAGCAGGGCAGGCCCTGCAGCCCTTCCCACTCCACCCACAGGAGACACCCTCTCAGCGCCTGCCTGCTGGGCCTCATGAGCAGTGCTCCTGGGAGAGCTCCACGAGGAGAGGCTGTCTGTGAGACACCCAACCTGCCCAAGCCCCCCACTTCTGCCCACACAGTAATTCAGCGCACGAGGAGGTTACAGCCTACCAGGGCCCCAGCTTTGAGACTGTGGACAATGATGTAACTTTTAAGGGTCTTTTGTGGTTTTTTATCAAAGGTAGATCTGAGAAATGGTCAACTATGACATCTGGGGCTGCATCTGCATTAAAATTACTATGGAGTATACTGCCCTGTGTACAGCTCATTTCTCCTCTACAAAGAGGGGCACTTTGTCAGTGCTGATTAAAACTCTGTTCTCTTTCATATTCTGGTATGTACTGTATGTTCTCTTGGATATTCGGTGAAAATGAGAATTAATTACTCCTGTTTTTCTGAGAGTTCAAAGTCAAATTCAAATCTGTTATGATATTCACATTGATCATTATAATGATATTTATGTATTTTGGTTTTCCATGATCTTGACCTCCAAAGTACTGTGTTGCTGTTTTGATATCATTATGTAGTTGTTGAGTTTAGAGAGAGTCATAATATACATATATCTAAGTACTTCACATTCAGATGCAGATATACACACATGCATCTGCATTTGTCTTAGCAAACCTACCATTTACTTCTTGGTCATCCTGTGGCTCCTCCATGCAGTAAACCTGGAAGGAATCAATAATGTCTTCTTTGTTCATGCTCCAGTAAACTGCAATTGTTGTGCTTGTAGCTGAATTTGGTTCCTGAGGTTCTAATCTTGGAGGCTGTGGGACTGGAATATAAGCATGATTCACTATAATTAATGCTGCTTTTATTTATCAGTTGTTTTGCAAAAGTTACTTACACTTGCTGGAATACAATTCAAACAACACAAAAATATATGGAGTAAAAGCCCAAGGACTCCCAGTTTCCAGTTCCAATCCTATCCATTCTTTGGATGTGGTTATTGTTGCAGCTGTGTACACATTCACCCAAATGTTTCTTGTGCACTTTTATATGTACACAGGTCATACAACTAGAAACAAACAGAAATGTCTCCCAAATTGGGATAGTACTCTTCTGTGGTCCTATATTTAGAGCAATAAATTTATACAAGTTAGAGGATATATCAATGATGACTTGGCTGTCCTTCAAAACAAGAGAAAATCTTTTCAGCATGCTTTGCTAGAGAACCATTTGCTGGACTGTCAGATATCAATATAGAGGTTGTACGGTATTGACAATAGAGACCAATGAAACCCTTTTAAGATATAGTTGTGACATCAAAGTTGAAAAGACTTGCTATGAATCAAACATTAAAATATACTCTCTGAAACTACTTGTCTTGGTTACCTTTCTCTTCTTGCTGAGACAAAATACCAATGCCCAGAATTAAGGAAGGAAAGGTTTATTTAGCTCACAGTTTGTGGAGGTTTCAGTCCATATGTGGCTGGCTCCAAGGCAGAGTGGCACATGGCACAGGGCAACAGTTCATGGAGGCAGAAAACAGCAAAAGCAACAAGCAAGAGCAAAAGGGAGGAGCAACAGAGGCAAGCAGCCTCTTTCCCTCTCTTACACTGTATGCAAACTACCTGCCCCAGGGCGGTTGTAGCACTCACATCCATAATTCCAACACTGGACCATGAATCAATGATAAACTCTAAAATAATGCCCCATGACTGCATGAGGCTTTGGGGGTACATCTAGACAGAAACTATAACACTACTATTCCATTTCTGTTTTCAACATAGCAATGCCTACAGATTTAAATACACACACACACACACACACACACACGTATATATATATATAAACTACCAGGGGGGAAAAAGTACCCTATTAAGTGCATTAGATATACATTTTAGCCATCTAGTATTATAACAGAAAATGGCCCCACCAGCCAATATACTTCAGTTTCTTAGTTGCCCAGGTAATGTTACAGCTGACAAGTTCCTGTTACAGTTCCTGTTACTTCTGTCTCTTAGAAACTGGTCACTGTGATGCATATTGTAAGAGCCAATCAAAGACAGACAAGTACTCTACCTCTGTACTTCCCCTTTGCAATCCCATAAAAACCTCCCTCCCTGAGCCATGAGGGCCTGGTATTTTGGGAATGATCCTGATCAGTGCCTGTTGATGTAGAATAAATCTGCCTCCAAATCCTGGGTGTCATTTCAGTGTTTCTGTTTGCCGTTGCAGAATAAGAACTCTGCTGCTCCGAACATTAATAATGTTCTCAAAGTGTTTTACTAGGTGTTTTTAATTTATAATTGTGCATACTGAATATTAATGTTATATACAACACCACAAATCAAGCTCTGTTTTGCAATTTTCTTCCAAAATTTATGACAGAAAGTCACTGAACATATTTTACAAGTTAAAGAAAAGGGTTATTCCTACAGATGAGAAGTCATGCTCTAAAATTTTTGTATGTGGTTATTTTTTTCTTCAACCAACAATTTCCTGAGTGATACCAGAAGCTTACTGAAACAAGTATGGGCCACACTTAATGAGGTAACTTTATTCAATGTTGACATTAGAGAGGAAAAAGAAGCTTAGTTTAACAAGAGGGTAAAAATGAGAAAGAAATACATCCAAAGAATGAAACAAAGGGGCATACTGGAAAAATTCAATTGAGATTTTAAAAAGTGGAAAAATAAGAAGTTTTGAAAAACAAGAAGTAGGACAGGAGAATGGTGTTGTTCATGGGCTTCACAGCAGACAGTCTGACCCAAGCTTCATTGCCAAATCCCCCACTTACTAGCTGTGTTATCTTAGCCTCAGTTTTCCCATCTCTACAACTGGTAAGCAGTAATAAATAACATTACTTCCTAGGGTTGTTAGAAAAAGCAAGATTATATATGTCAAGTGCTTAACAAAAAGTGCCAACATACAACTAATGGTAACATGAGAAGGAGAGATGGCATTGGAAGGAGCCCAGCAAGTGAAGAGGAGGGCAGGAGATGCCCAGAGGTACAGCTGAACAAGAGACCCACATCTGACAGATCACAAAGGCCACAAAGGAAAGACAGGCTGTGTAGGCAGCAGGAAGGCCCTTTCCCCAAGGACTGACAGAGGGTACAGCCCTATTCTGCCTTTGACTTTATTGTCTTCCCCATAGAAAATGAGTATCACATTCTGAACAGTCTGTACAGGTAGATGAGGTTTTGAAAATTTTCTTTTCCTTTTCTTCTTTTTTTCTTTTTTGATGTTTAGTAAATTTTCAATTTTCATGTGAAGAGCAAGGTAGAATAATTCAACCTTTGTTGTTTGGAGCAGTGTTAGAGAACTCCTTAAGGCAACAAAAATGTTTTCCTCTCTTTTTGTTTTCTATCAGGATAATAATATTCCTTAGTTATTGCAAACTGATCAGGCCCACAATCTCCAGAATGAGTATACAGTGAATGCTAAATAAAAAGAGGCAAAGGGAATGATTTCAGGTTTCCAGGAGGATCAAAGCCCTCTCACAGAATTCAAGATTCTCTCAGGGCTAAGACCAAGACCTTCTCTGGGTGGCCCATATTTATTTGGTTATCAGAAGAAAGGAGGAGAATACTCAAGAAGGGCAAAATTACTCAAGGACTTCTCCAAGAAAGGTATTAAATTAATCCTTAATAAGGATTAAATTAATCCACCCAAAGTCAAATTCCTGAGGGTACAGTCTTTATCTAGTTGAGACTGGATCCAGGTGTCCTTGGCTGTGACCTTGTCTTATTCTTTGAGGCTTTCCAGCTTCATCTGCCATTACAGGCCTTAATAGGGATCAGGGATTCACAGAGGTTAATTTACTATGAGTCTGCCACGCATCTTCAGACAAGGAGCCTAGGCCTTGGACAGACTCACATGAAAAGCCCACTGGTGAATTTAAGTCCTGCTCAGTGCTGCTCCTATGAATTGTACACTGAGCTGTATCTGCTTTTTAAACAATTATGTTCTCTCTGTCTCTCAATCTCTCTCTCTCCTTCCTCTCTCAAAACATAACAAACCTAAAGATTCATAATTAACCTACCCCATCACCAAATATTAAGGAAGAAGCAGGTGTAGGCAGTCAAGTAAAGCATATATGCTAAACATAATTTTGTTCCTAACATGCTCCTTCCACTCAAAGAATTAAAGTTAAACATCTTTTTTCAAAACCAGGAAGTGCTTTCTCTTTGAAGTATTCTAAAATGAAACAAGGTATAAGAATAGTCTATAGCTGTAACTTAAAAAGTGATGGCGGAGTTTATAATTCCTATGTAGCAGAAGAACATCAGAGGCCCAGATTTTGTACAATAGTGACTCTGTTTACATATCTTAGTAATAAACTTGAATAAGTGTGACGCCAAAAGAAAGCAAAAGGTCACTTAGAAGTTCTCACTAGAGGCAAAGGTGTAGGTGGAGGAGTCCCATAGATTCCCTCCATCTGGTAAGTGATGCCCATGAAGAGCTGTCACACATAGGGATAAGCATTCATCAGCTGGGATTTCAGTACCAATGGCCAGACCAATTTCTACTCAGTCCAGCTTTCAAAAAGTCCCCAGGAGAGCAGCGTTACTCAAAAGTGCCAAGAAGTAGAAGCAACAACCCTAACACTAACCCTAACCTAAACTGTATAAGTCAGTGGATGGATGAGCAAAATGTAGTACACTCATTCAAAAGAGTATGTATTATTCAATATTAAAAAGGAAGGAAATTTTGACACATGCCATAACACCAATGAACACTGAGGATAACATGCTAAGTAAAATAAGCCCATTACAAAAAGAAAAATAATTTATAATTTCACGTCTATTAAATACCTAGAGCAGTTGAATTCATAGAAAGGAGAATGGTGACTTCCAGACTAGGGAGATGAGGTAGGGAATAGACATGTACTGCTTAATGGGGACAGAGTGTCAATTTTGCAATATGAGGAGTTAGGCATAGAGATGGTGATAACATTTGTACAGCAGTACAAGTTAATGCCACTGACTTGTACAAGTTAAAATGCCTAAGATGCTACTGTGTTGTGTATTTCACTATAGATTTTTTTCAAGAATTCCTGGAAGCTAAAGTCAAGGAAGCCCAGCTACCACTAAGACACATATATCTCATTTTCCACCAGAGGTGCCCACTTTGCCACAAGGCGGAGGTCTTAAACCAACCCCCCAACATGTGTGTTGCAGCAGTAAGACATGTTCCTGCTCTTCTTTCGCTCGTATATATCTTGGGGAATAAGAACAAAACCTACATCCTGGAGTTGTGAGACTCAGCAGCTAGATATGCCAGGTCTTGTGTGAGGATGGAGCAAAGGCAGCTACTGCCATTCACCATGGGAAAACCTATGTCCTCTCCTCATGCTGTCCACTTGGCTTAGGTCTGGATTTGCCAAATCTGCTCTTCAGGAGCCAGGTGAAAGCTCTACAGAGAGGCATCGCTGGTCACAGAGCAACGCTGTGTTCTTGCTCAGGCTCTCCAAGACCAGGTAACCCCAAGCCTCCAGGGCTGCATGTGCACTTTCAGAATTCAAATTAACTCTTCTGATAATTTAACTCTGTGATCTCTGGGGCACAGAATGTCCTCTCATTGTCTGCCATGTATTTGCAAGTACTGTATATCCTTCTAAATGAACAGCAACAGATAACAGATTTCTTAAGAGCAGATTTTCTCTGATAATCAGAATTTCTTAGTTTGTGATTGCTGACCTAGTTCAACACCTCCGAAAGATGGTACAAGAAAATAACCTTTTATTTTGAGAGATTTCTAAACAAAAATCCACTAGGATAAGTGACTGAACTTTTCATTTTACAAAACATTATCGGAGTACTGAGG